AGTGAAGGCAGCTTCTTCAGCAAGAATGATTTGAACTGCTGATTCCAATTTACTAGCAATAACCTTTTCACCTTCTACACATTCTTCAAATAAACAAACACACACATGCATATACATAGTTATGGAAATATATATGCACACAAAGAGGTGCTGAAAAGCACTAGCCTGAGGTCTTAAAGGAGAACAATTTTCAGCACCTTCTTATTTGTGTATGGGGCGGGGATATTAAACCAATTAATGGGTTTTCAACCTGAAAAAGATTTCTTGTTGGTATGGATGCTATTTTAATGGGCATAGATGCTATTTTAATGGGTATACATGTTAGAATAGACATGCGAGGAGGTACATTTTCATTAATCAGATTATTGATGAGAACGGCTAGTTGACATCCATTTCATTGTTTGTAAATAAACAGGGATATCTATTCAGAAATATGTACCGTTTTTATCATTTCACCCCAAGCAAGGTAATAAAGTCACAAAGATGCATGGGATTACTGAGTGAGAAAGAATATGAGAAAAAGAAAATATTATTAAGGAGCAAGAACGAAAAAAGAACAAGAATTAAGAACACAGGCTGTAACAGCTGACATTGCATTTAACGTATTTTATGTCTTGGAAGATACACCCTAATATTGGAAAGACATTTCTAAGAAAAAAAAAAAAGTCATTCTCCTACAACAACACATTCACCATGTATCCCTCACATACTGGCACTATATATTGATTACATTAATCACTCGTCCGATTTTGTTTGTATGGCAATGACATACTAGTCAAGAGCAGAAAGGCTCCCGCTGCCGTTAGTAAACAGAGCATGTTTAAGCTTGTGGCTTGGCACCAGGAAGGTTTATAGTCTTGGAAATACTCGTAACAGTTAAGTACTGAGGTTACATCATATAAAAGGCTGAATTAGATAGCTAACATTGTAGCGTAATGACTCAACATACAAATCCACGTCCCTATCAGTCAAGCCAATTAGGTGACTGTCCAAGCTTACTTTAGCCTGGGCATTGCCTTACATTAGTCTTGGAAGACACACACATATTCTTCAGGGTATATCTTAGGAAAAAGGTGCGTCTTGTAAACTGAAAAATCTTTTAAGTGCATAGTTTACTGGCAAGCAAGAAGCCAGAAGAGAATTTCACAAGTGAGAAGTACGAGAGAAGAAACAGTTAGCATAGAACTTACATTTACATCAAACCATTTCAACTGCAAAATGATGAGACTTAACTGCCAATCTAGTAATACACATAAATTCATAAAGTCTAGGTACCAAAGAAGAAAGCTCATCAGAACAATTACCATGAAAATATTTATAGAAAAGGTACACAGAAGCTATGTTATAGTGGTGGGAAAGTAACTGAAGCTGAGATGTTAGGTCAAGATCAATAATATTGCAGATTCTTCTTTTGATTTTATCAAGATTCTCTAAATATATAACAGAAGCACCAGACCAGATGTGACAGTAATATACAATGCAGGGATGAATGGAAGACTTATAAATTCAGAAGATAGATCTTGCCGAGAAATTATCTAGAATGAGAGTAAATATTTTACTATAAACATTACTATAACATCATATATTTTATAACTAAAATACTTTACTATAAAATTACTATAAATATTATGTTGGTAGGTACTAAAAGTACCAACTAAAATAAAGTTTATAGTAACAAGAAATTAAAATAAAAATGAAAAAGCAACAAGTTTAACAATATCAATAATGCAAAGAAATCTTTGAACGGCATCAATAGTCCAAAGACTTCTTTGGGTTATTGATGCAGTTCCACTACTTCTTTGGACTATTCTTGGAACAGCATCAATAGTCCAAAGAACTCTTGAAACAATATCGATCATCCAACAAACTCTTGTAACAGGGCTCCAGATTATTCTTGCTATTGCCCTGGAACCATTCTGAAAAGAATTTAAGTCACCTCAAAATTAAAATTCTTTTAACTTTTTTATTTATAGTTGTTAGTAGCATAATAAAAACACCATTAAAATATTGAAATTTTAAAATGTGTAAATACAATAACAAAACAGTGAAATATTATAGTATTTTTTTTTTTTATAAAAATCACATTATTTAAATGTTTCAGTTAAATCAGGATGAAAAATTTTACATGGAAATATTTCTTATTAATTTTCATGCTCAGCGTAACTTTTATCAGACTTTATATTAAGAACTGGGCTCTATGCATTCATTTTCTGCATAAAAAATATTAGTGCATTCCAACTATTCTCAAATGTTTTTGAAGTCATTATCAGACAGTTTGCATTTATAATTATCTGTCTTGCATCAGGACGACATTTCCTATGTTTATCATTTAAAATTCTCATTTTCAAATTAGTTTGTGATAAGCAGAAAACATAATGAATAATTTTTTTTTTTCAATGGCTCATTCAAGCTTTTTTTCAACCAAAAAACTGATAGCAAAAAATGTAATTTTGTTGCTCTGTTTGTTAAAGCAAACTCAGTTATTACAATTTAATTCTAATATTTTTTACATGTAGAAAAAATATAAAAACTTTAAATTTCGACCCCCATTTTTCATTTGGGTTTCATTCACCAATAAAAAAAGAAGTGCTTAATTTTTTTTGTTTTATTTTCTTTGTGTGCAGTACATTTATTAAAAGTCCACCACATTTTAGTTAAATTGAAAGTTATATTAAGAAGAAGTTGGGCTCAAGAACTTTTATTTGAATTGGGTAAAACTATAACTTACATGGATTTGGGAAAACCAATTTACTGGAGAGGTAAACAGCCCCTGGTCCTGGTAAATGCGTGGCAAAAACAGCAGATATCAAACTAGGAAGAAAAATATTAAGGTAGAAATTTATAAATTAATAAAAATTGCCAAATATGCATTTAACACAATATTACACACGCACACACAGACATATATAAGTACACAATAAAATCCAAAATTACCTCATATAGGGAATAGGCTTATTTCAACCGACAAAAGTTTGTCAGTCTTCTGGAGTTGAATAAGACTGACAAATTTGAATTGTTTAAAATAATTTATTCCCTATGAGGTAATTTTAGATTTTATTGTGTGTTAATTATTTGTTCTGTAATAATAAATACATTGAGCTCTTTTTCTGGATCAGTTTTAATATTTTATATTACTAGGATCCACTATAGATTATATACCAACAGATTTATTACCTTTACTATATATATATATATATATATATATATATATATATATATATATATATATTTGGTTGGATAGATGTGAGTTTGTGACCCTGGGTTTCACACTTTAGCGATCGTCAGACAAACTGATTAATGTTTTAAAAATTTGGGTTTATGTAGATTGCGTGTATTGGTGTTATTGTGGAAGTGGTGGGGAAATTTCGTCGTTTTGTCATTCATCGTACTAACGCAAACATCGATGTATGCAGACACATACACATACTTTGGTCGTCCGTCGGGACTCATACATATATAAACATATGTGGGCAGTTTCAGCTATGACACATGTATGTATACGGGTGGTGTTATATCTATACATACGCATTTGTATGTTGAAATGTTGAAATTTAAACATTCAAAGTGTGACGGAAATGTCTCGTTAATTACTGTATACATGTCATATTGCGAAATTTTTTTTTATTTTTTCCGCTGAAAAATATTTCCTCGCATGTATGTATATACATGTGGTGGGGTTTTTGTAAAATTATGATAGGTAAAAATTATTATTTATATTTTTTTTAAATTTGGAAAAAAAAAAAAAAAAAATGGGGGTTTATATGTTATATTTAAAGCTGGTTATTTGTTTGTTTTGGTGACTGTGTATATGTAACAGGTAGAAATTTGTAATCCTTATTGGATAATTTATATGGTGATGTTTAGTTTAATATTCAATGTGCTGGGTGAGAGGGTAGTTCAATTTAATAACGGGTCTATATGATATGATGTGATAGTAATGTTTCAAGGATTGGAGACAATGATAGCTAATAGTTTTTTGTAAATTGGTAGAAATTGTAAATTGGTAGAAATGATTAGTAACGGTGGTGGGAGAATGATAAAACCATGAATGTAGTTATAGTGGTGGTAGCTTGAACTAAAAAAGTGGTTGTTGGTATTTTATTTTATTTTTGTTTTATTTTGTTATATGTATTAATTTATTTTGGTATAAATCCTGATAATAAGTATTCTGTGTAAAATTATGGTAGTTGGAGATTGCTATAATTTTTAATATTTTAATTTAAAAATTATTATTGTTATTATATTAAAGCTGCCTGGTAATAGGTGTTTTTTATTCTCATGGTTACATATGGAAATTATATCTCTGATCATATTATTTTTTAAGGTATTAAATATGCTGGGGAGTAATAAAGATTGTAGTGGATTTATATGTTAATAAGTGGGTGTGATGTGTAAGTGATGGTGCTGTGCGTTGGTGGTAATGATAATATTGTTAGTTAAAAGGTATTAAATAGTAAAAGTGATTACTAATGGTGGTGTAATTATAATAATGATAGATGCAATTATTTTGATGGCATCTTGAAATTTTATTCCATAAATATAGCATCTATATATATATATATATATATATATATATATATATATATGAAGAAATATAGTTTATATATTTATGGAATAAAGAAATCAATATCAGAGATAGAGCGTGAGTAAATATAAAAGCCAGGCCTGTCAATTGTGTCTAGCATGAAACAGATTGTCGCCTCTAAGTTTTTGACTGTATTTTCAAATTTTTATTATATATATATATATATATATATATATATATATATATATATTTATTTTTTATACATTATTTTTATACAGATACAAATATTTAAGTAAAATATTCACATTTATAATAAACAGTTTTAATAACATTTACTGTCCTGAATGTTCAAGAAATTTCATAGAAAATATGTATCCTCCGATAGTAATTGAATCTGTATCCTACATGGAACCCTCATATACTCTGATGTGCTATACCTACAGAGGAAGCGTCTGAATAGCAAGTTCAAATTTACTGTTTTTAATTGCTAAATATTGCTAACCAGACCATTTCTCTGTAGCTAAATGGTATAGCATGTCAGGCTATATGATGGTTTCGTATAGGATACAAGTTCGATTCCTGCCAGAGAACACATATTTTTTATGACATTTCTCGGACATTCATGTCGGTAAATGTTGTTAATACTGTTTATTATAAACATAGCATTTACATAAATATTTGTATCACTATCAATGCGTTAAAAAAATATCCACAAATCTTTTCTACCACGTAAAACTAAAATTTAATTTCAAAGGCATAAATTATTTAAAATGAGCTTTTCATTTTCTTTTTTGAAGTACGTCGACTACCTCTGTTTTACAAGGAAACCTTTTAGAAAGCAACATGTTGATTGCATGATGGTAAAAAAAAAAAAAAAAAAAAGGACCAACTTATGTAGCCTGCAATTTGTTATGCAAAAAAAATTCCGGTAAAATTGAGGAAACTACCGTTTTTATGAGACAATAATGAGGATCTGAGTTGGGTCCCGGGTACAGACTGGCGTCCAATACTGCTCGGTTTGCAGATAATGCCCCAGTGACTAAAATGTTTAGAAAATGTTCCTATTGTTAAAAAAAAAAAATTATTACAAAAATAAAATAAATAATCATGCTTTTTTTATTGGAGGCCTGGCTGTAGCCGGGACCCAAGTAAGATTGTCAATAAAACTGTAGATTTCCCTCAATTTTTAAATGCTATAGGAATAATCAGGCTTTTATAAATGATGTTTTTTTTAATTGGTCACTGGGGCATTATCTGCAAATTTACCAAAATTCCTTTAGTTCCTACTGGATTTTGATTTACTATCGGGCTTAATGTCAGGGTCCGGTTTAGCATCACACATTTAGGTACCTTCATGAGATTGCTAAAAAAAAAAAAAAGAGCATAGTCTGATGAAAAAGAGGCCTAACTTGACGAAAACAAAATTTTATCGTCTAAATGTTTGTTATTATTAAGAGGAAAGACCAAAGTTATTTTAATTATATTTTTTAAAAATTTTCCTTCTTTTTAGAACATTCTACTAAATTTTGTTTGATTGAAAAAAAACTTTGTTTCTCTTTTGTATCACCGGAACTAGTAAAATAACATATACAATTTTTAGCACATTTTTTTTTTTTTTTTTTTTGTATGACAGATATTAATTTGGAAAATCTTGCAAAAATAAAAATAATTGTTGGATGTTAATTAAACTAATAATGTATCCTCTTTCTTTAACCACTCCAGTTGTTGATAAAAACTAAAGTGAACAGATTTCCAAACAAAGATCATTTTCATAGAGAGCAAAAGAAAGAAATAGACTTTCGTAGAAAAATTTATTTTAGCATAACGGAAACTCCACTAAATATAATTTAAGTGAAATTTTAAACTTGTGAATATTTTTCTGACCTTTTGGTGTCAGCTACACACACTAAGGACGTTACTTTTTATTTTCTTTTTTTTACCTACCCGTTTATCAATACACCGTGCACAATACATTTTCGGTAACGAGTATTTTTAGCATATTGAGGGTCCAAGTGGATGGGGTTGAAATCAAGGGTTAAATTTGCTAAAGTCCGTAAATCTTCGGCACTAAAAGTCCTTGATAAACTTGCACAGTCCCCGACTTTGTACATACACTCCAGACGTCGGGCCAGGCCCCGTTGCGATACCAACACCGGACCCCATTCATTGCTGTTGCAATTGCGACTGTTTCTCGAGTAGAAATGCTGACTCCTACGCAGAAAATTAGAGGCAAATCGTTGGAAAATCATTTCCAGTTTCCCTCCTATAAAAATGTGTCTTAAAATTAAAAGTTTCTGTTTATATTCCAAAACTACCGCTCAAAGGTCGCATGCATGTGTTTTCTGATAAACTTGGATTACACCGCCGGTGATTATATATAATGGAAGGGAGATTACTTCCTTCAAAAAATTTAGTTCCCTTTTTTATATTGAAAGAGGTTGATACAAAATTTCCCTACTGTCGGTCAAAAGCTAACTCCTGTGCCAGAAAAGTACACATACATACATACATAATAGCAGGCTACTCTCGTTTTTATGAGTATACCTGTCAGCTACGGCAGCTAGCGAATCCCTGCCGCTGACACCTACTAAGGCGGATTAAGTTTGTAATACCCACAGAGTCCACCTGTGGTTCTGGCACAGGAGTTAGACATACATTAGCCAATGAGGGCTTCATTGAGGCGTAGTTAACGGGCCCTGTGCTGTAAGTGGAGCTCTGATTCTCCTCATTTTAGATGGAAGAAGTTGCTTAGCCCCGGGGATTCCAGCACCTTCCTCATCGCAATAAAGAGGCTAGGTCGCGTGGGCCAGGCAAAAAATTAATTTTTGTCCTTTTCCCATATGCATAAGTATATATATTGCGCCCCCCACGTTAAAACGACCTTGTGTCTCATCCAGCCTTGGTGGAGAGGCCGGGTAGATATATCTGTGGTTTAAACTGCAATTATGCTGAGTGGACCTTAGTCACAGTTTCTGGGGGAGATAGAGAGAGAGAGAGATAGATAGATAGAGAGAGAGAGAGAGAGAGAGAGAGAGAGCACATAATCTGTTATGATCAGCAGTTTGAACAACGACAGTACGCTCAAACCCTCGGTCATGATGACTTGTGACTTCGTGCTCCCGAACAGTTGCACTCACAAGGCTTAGGTCTTATTTGTGGCATGATTTTCAGGCACTTTCCAAAAAATATGCATATATATATATATATATATATATATATATATATATATATATATATACAAACATATACGCATACATACATGCATCCATACATACACACACACATATATATAAGAAAAAAATATATATATATATATATATATATATATATATATATATATATATATATATATATATATATACCCAAGTATAGGATTGGTGTATACGGAATAAATTCCAATAATAAACAAATACTATTCTTAAAAGAGTGCTCAATACAGAGTAGAGCAAATATAATTATTCGAAAATTATAACATAAACATGTTTATAAAATCACTACAAAAATAGCCATTTTGTTTCAACACTTCTGTTTGTCTTATCAAGTGATGATGCTTTATTAGAATTTAACATCATCATTTGATAAGACACCAGAAGTTTTGAAAACAAATGGCTATTTTTCTAGTGATTTTATAACATGTTTATGTTATAATTTTCGAATAAATAATTATATATATATAACAATTTTAGGAAAATCTGTGAAAAAGTGCAAAAAATTTACTAAAGTGATGCTTATGTTGATGAGATTACACATATGCATGAACGAGAAGAGACGCTGAAATTATTTTTTTAGTATGTATTTGTGTATATAGTCGAACCGATGTCTATTAGTTTCTTTTTCTTTTCGTTTATGTTTTTATCAGTTTTTTTAATTAAATATCCCACATTCTAAAAGTAAAAGAATTAATGCGAAACAAAATAATAAGATAAAATTTGAAGGAGGAATTAACTCCATCACCTGTAATACTTGCTACAAGGAATACACAGGAGAAACCTCAAGGAATCTAAATATATGAACACAAAAGGAATCTTTTATAAAACAGCAATGAATTAGTTGCTCATCATAATGAGTTTGACTATAATTTAGAATTAAAATTGCTACTTTAATTAAAAAGAAAGCAATTTACTAAAATGTATAGAAAGTACTTTAATCGCTAGATCATCCACAGTAAATCTGCATCCAGATCTGACAAAATTTCTTCTATTATCACCATGTGATATATATATAATAACAGAAGTGATAAAAACAAAACAAAAAGACGAAATCGACTATAGTATTTATCCACACAAACACATATTTAAAAGAAAAAAGATTAAAAAAAAAAAAAATCAGCCTTGCACCAATGAAAAGTGCAAACAAGAAATATAAACAGTCAATAGGTGGTATCCCTTGAGGAGTGGACGGAGTGATTTCTGGAGGGTCCGTCTACGAAACTCTGGAGTAGGGATACTGAAATGACAAATTTTATATTTGTATTATATATGTATATATATGTGTGTGTGCGTGCGTGCGTGTGTGTGTGTGTGTGTGTGTGTGTGTGTGTGTGTGTGTGTGTGTGTGTGTGCATTATTCCGTGCTAATAGGGATATATACTTGAAAAACAAGGTGGATAAAATAAGTAAAGGTTTATTGTAAAAAAAACCAGTACAATAAGAATAAAGGTAACAGTTATGCACAAGGTCGTCGCAAGTCAATCCAGTAGTTCTCGCGTAAGTCTGAGTCGTACTAAACAGATCCCAGCTAGTCAATATTTACTAGCCCCCCCACCACCACCACCACCACCACGAGGGCAGATGTGGTACAAGGCCGAATTTAACATGGGTCGTCCAAGCCCGTAGGCTCGACCAAAAAATCCCCGTAGAACCAGCCTAAACGGGATCGGGTTGGCCTACCTCCTCGAACGAGACTCTGCCCTTCGGCATAGCCTCGTCCGGGTTCTTATCTGCCCGAAGGCAGAGAGTTCGACTCTCTAGCTGGAACAGAACCCAACTAGTCAATATTTACTTGCCCTCCCCCACGGGGGAAAGATGCGGTACAAGGCCGAGTTTTACGAGTGTTTTCCGAGCCCGTAGGCTCGGCCAAAAAATGCCCGTAAAAACAGAATCGGGTTGGTCAACCTCCCCGAACGAGACTCTGCCCTTCGGCAGAGCCTCGTCCGGGTTCCTCTTTGCTCAGAGGCAGAGAGTTGGAGCATCTTGCTGGAACAGATTCCAGCAAGTCTCCGTAGTCCGTTGACTTACAGATACCTATAGTTAGTTACTGCCTATAGTGTAGTCACTCATGGGGGTAACAGGTTATTCCATATATATATATATATATATAATAAAATTATATGTAAGAACAGTAAGATTTATAATCCGGTGTTCTTAGCAATTATTTTTATTTCTAAAAACAGTGCTCGATACAAACAGTAGAACATAATATGGTTATTTTCTTTTTTAAAAATATGATTCAATCGCGACACAGAAATTTCTATGATTCCAAAACTGAAACTAAAATTGTAAATTTCATTATAAAAATTATTTTAAGTTTAATTTTTATAATTAAATTTACAATTTTAGTTTTAGTTTTGAAAACAGAAATTTCTGTATTAACAATGGAATCATATTTTAAAAAAAAAAAAATATATATATATATATATATATATATATATATATATATATATATATATATATATTGTGTGTGTATTTAGGCAGCATTTTTCATTGATGCATGTTTCATTAAATACTATAGATTTCATATTGTCTGATAAGCTTAATAGCATTGTCATTAAAAGAAGAAAGAAAATCACCATATGGATACATATTTTTTTAATCCTATGTAAGCTTTCGGCTTACATAAGCCATTATCAAAGATGACAATTATATATTACAATATATTAAACAATACACGGACAACAGATGTCCTGTTTGTTGCTGTTAAGGGTGTTCAATTTGTCTTTGGCTAATTCAGTTTGCCTTTTCACAAGGCTACATATATAATTCCAAGTGTTGATAGTTTGGTGGCCTGCTGGATCATGTAATTGTAATTTAATTGTGTGTATTTAGGCAGCGTTTTTTCATTGATGCATGTTTTATTAAATAATATAGACAAGTTTTGTCTATTTATTTTATGTAAATTCTTTTCATATCGTCTGCAAATTGTAAATATATTTCTTGTAAAAAGAAAGATAAAACATTGCATTTGGCAGATAATATTAACTATAAATTATTTTGGAAGTAAGTGATGCTGCTGCGAACATTTTAGTAGAACAAATGGAAAATAATTCAAATTTTAATGTTTAACAGCTCTTCCATTTGTAAAAATTAGAAATCATTCAAATTTTAATGTTGAAAAGCGCCTCCATTTGTAAAAATTAGAAATCGTTTGAATTTAAATTTGAATTTGAACAGTATGTCTCGTATTTCTATTTGACATATCTGGAAACTAATTTTTTTACTGTTAGACACAAAATCGTACTTAACTTAGTTAAAATTACCTAGAATGTATATTTTGATAAATGGATCAAGCAACAGAGAAGCTTTTAGCAAACGTTGTATATATTGGAAATCATTTGAATTTAAATTTGATCATTGCCTTGTGTTGCTTAACAGATCTGCAACCACACACACACACGCACACACACATATGTCAAATAACATAAACTTGGGATAAATAACATAAACAGGAAGACCAGCCTCAACCCATTCCCCATTTTCGGCCTTGTGCCATAATATTGTATTAAATTTACAATAAATCTCAACTTAGGATTTTTTTATTTTATGCAAACAAAAACGGTAACTAGGTCACTACGAGGTGCGTGAAGCGCGTAGCAAACACTGCGTTTTGTAGTCATAATTTGAGGAAATTCACTTAAAAACGCTGCTTTTTACTGACTGGAAATTCAAAGATTTATGAATTATTAAAAATAACTTTAAATTTTAATCGTAAATATTATCAAATCATCCCTTACTGTTAGGTGTTAATCACAATCTAAAAATTGATCAGGCATTTTATGAAAAAATCTAACAGATCGTTACATTTAGTAGATAAGAATTGAGGCGTTTTAAAGCCAAAGTTAATTCATATTTTTCATAATCAATCCAGATAATCAACCTCAACTTTTTTTCATATATTTATTTATTCTAATCATCTAAGGAACTGCCAACTATCAGATTTTTAAAAAAGAAAGAAAAAAAAAACGTTCACTTATGCTAAGATGACCGGCCAGCGAAAAAGAAAGCAAGTACACACAATCAGAGACGATCCCAATGACGAAATAGAGATATTAGAAATTTGGTGCCCACCCGAAGGTTTTGAGGGAGAAGAGGAAGAAGAAGAAGAAGAAAATCAAGGAGAAGAAGAACAAGAAGGTTTTGAAGTCGAAGAAGAAGAAAGAGGGACTGAACAACACGTTCAGAAATACGAAAACAACTTCCCGGTTCAAATTGAACAAACACAATGTATGAACGGAGAGTATATAGATACTATTAATATCTACAAGATCTTGGAGGAGTTTGAACAGTCGCCTCAAGTCGATACTCATGAGTCAAAAAAGAGGAGCATTCAATGGAAATTAGCAAACAGCGATGAGCATTTGCTAACCAAAGCCGAAGAAGAGGAAATTAACAAGAGAGCCGAGGCTTACGTCCTGAATGTTTATCCTGACAGGAATTATTACAGCCTTCCAGAAACGTCAAACCAATGCAAACAGCCATTGCGAATTGATGAGAACATTAACCACGATCAGGGCGTTTATTTTCCGTTACCCTTTCAAGGAAAACGAAAGAGGAGGTCCTATGATAATTTTATTTGCTATGTAACTCATTGCAACGGGGAAGATTCATATGATAACTCGCATATACTTCCGAAGGGCACCAGGCTTTTGAAACCGCCCAACAAACTGGTAGAACTTGTCGCTCAGGCAATTAATGATTCTCCCGACGGTCTTCTCCAAGTCCACCAGATTTACGCCTTGCTTCAAAACAAATACCCGTATTTCCGTTACATGGAAAAGTCCGCCATAAACAGTTGGAGGAGTTCAATTCGTCACGCCCTTTACCAGAAATGGTTTCGGAAAATCCACCTGAAAAAGGAAGCAATTAACAGCAAGGGTTGCTACTGGACTATAAACCGAAAATTCAATCCGAAAAACTGGACGATGCCTGAAAGCCAAGGAGGAAACCTGTTGACGTTTCCCAGGTTGGACATCTCGGAAAACTTTAACCGGGGTTTTCAGCCGGAGCCCCTAGTGACCGAGCACGCGAACCTAGTTTTTGATGCGCCCATCACAGAGGGCTACCAGATTCCCCTGTTCGAAGAGTTTCCAAACTTCATTAACGTCCCGCTCAAGTTTCCGATCGAAGCCGATCGAACCGTGCTCAGAGACGACCCAGACATGAATCTTGTCACCTGGTCGTCTGCGTCGTTCGTTGACCAAGCAGCCGTAGAATCGATACCTTCTTGAGAATCCCGTGTCAGCTCAACTTCTATACAGATCTTCGTCAGGTCACAAAAAGAAAAAAAAATATTTTGTGATTTTAGCATCAGCAAAGCTCTTTCTCTTAAAGATATCATCTAACAGTTCATTTTATCTAATCAGAAGCAATTGAAAACTATATTAATTTTGCCTTCAATTTAAAATGCTGTCATATACCACAAAAAGGTCAAAAGGTCATAAAAAGAATTCGTGTATGTCTTTGATCATTTGGTTCCTGGAGTTTTGTTCAGCTTTGTGTTGGCGTTAATTCTTATGTGCCTAATTCATGAGGGTGAACGTTTATTGTTTTTAGGAAAATTTCTGACCGTCTCCCACCCCGAATATATAAAGACTACCCGCTTATTAATTTTTCAGTTTTTGACTCTTTAAATGATTTTCTGACCCCACCTTTTATTAAGACCCCCGTTCATTGCATCTTGATAAAAATTCCGATCATACAATTACTGATAACCCCCTCCTTGTATCAGGCACTATAAGTGTATGTTGCTTTCAAGCAAATACGGAAAAATAAAAATATTTGGTTTGGATAAACAATTTGTCTCGTGATATTACATTGCATTTTACATTTACGTTTTTTGTTTGTTTTTTTGTTTTTTTACATTGCATTGTACATAAGTATATGACTTATGACTATATTTATTGTGAAAAAATTATACAATTATGGCACAAGGCCGAAATGGGGGGTGGTGAGGCTGGTCATCATTAACTATCTTATACCTAGCTAATCCGATTCACGACCCATTCATATATTACAATTTCTACATTCACCATAAGAACTCGTCCGTCACCAATCAATCCCCCATACACCATAATACCGCATCATCTCAAGGGGGACCTACAAAACGCGCCCCCATGTCATAAAAATATGATTATATATGTACATTTAAAAATTTATGAATTAATAAAATGAAAGGAGAGGGAGATGAACACAGTAAGAAACTAAAAAGATACACAAAAGCAACTAAACATAATTGATGTCAGTAGGGCCCGTCCAACCCTAAAAAATGAGAGGCCGCTGTATTCTGCCCATTTGAACAAAATCAAGAAGCTCTCTCGCTAAGGAAGTGGGAAAAGGATAAAAAAATTTTACGGCCATGGGAAAATATAAAGCTGACCCAGTCGAGATAAAAGGGGCCAAAAACAAACTAGGGAGGTTAGGAATCTCAACCTGGATCATAACCAAAGATGTGGCCGGAGACAGGTCAGGAACAACACTTACTCAAATTAACTAGGTATACAAAAGCTTGTCTAACCTAACCAAGGGGAGGGGTCCACAGGAAACCACCCCGATGTGACGTAGGCTTGACCTAAAAGAGAAAATCAAGGCTAGCCCCGTTCAAACGAACCAAGCTCGCCTTTCGCTGAAGACTGTCGAATGCAAGCGTTTTCTATCAGTTCTAATCTTCATCTTATGACTCACTAGTTTGCAGTCTCTAGTTAAAGGCACTCAGAGAAGGTGCCTGTTACCGTACTTCAAGGTAGATTATTCCAATCATCTACCTTTCTGATACCTGTTCTCGAAAATCACTTCTGTTGCGCTTCGTGTCGTCTCTGGCTTCAATTCTTCAGATCCCAATACTACTCCAAAGACTGCATCAACGACGGACAGTTTTCCTTTTTTTTTATCGTGCTTTATTATATGAGGTACAATATTTGCTGTATCGTGTCTAGGCAAAAGCGAAAGGGAGACGACCAGGAGCTCGTATGCCGTCCCTTGGCCAGGTGCTGTCCAAGGAATCTGAGTGCGGAAGGCGTGTTGACCCATCAAAAGTTCTTGAGACCGACTCCTTTTCTGCGTGCCTTTTTGGTCTTGTATCGAAACCATAGCAAAGGCAATCCATCAATTTTCGAATTTCATGTTTACAAGGTCATCTGACCAGTAGTTTGCCATTCCAAGCCAGCTTAGGCGTTCTTTAACATTAAGAATCGACAATAAAAAAAAATCTCTTAGTATAAAGGAAATTTACATTAACCAGAAAAGGGCTTAGACAGAAGCGTCTATCTTTTTAAATTTGGACTTTTTAATGTAACTATAACAACAAAAACATTTCGATTCATTTTTGCCTTGAAAAAGTCGGAAGACGAAACGCGCCGGCAAAATCTAAGATTTTTTCCAATTGTCATTTTATGCCAATTAAGAATGTCCTCGAAGCTGGCGTTAGGCAGTGGCGAAATACGCTTTAGATGGAGTAACGTAACTTCCCGTTAATTTCCTGTAAATTTGAACGTTTCTTTCATATCTGTTTGTTTCATCCTTTTAATTTATGTCATTCTCATCTGTTGTCAAGACAACTCATCACTTACAACAGAGAACAGTGACCCATGATTAACTAGCTCATTTAGTAGAGCAGTTTACGGTTCTAGTAAGTTCTAATGTAAGTGCTGCTACATTATTGTAGCCATGTGTCAGACTGTTAAGTAAATCTATATTGTAAAAGAATCATCCTGGAGAGTATCACTCGTGCCCATTTTGTTCCATTGAATTGAGCACGTACTCAAAATAGATAGAGGCGTAAGACAAAGGTGCAGCTTCTCACCGGATTTATTCAACCGATACAGTGAAGCGATCCTAGGATAACTAGAGGTTCTACCGGGATTTTAATGATTTTTTTATTTGGTAAATAAAATCCTACGAAAGAAAATAGTTCAAGCAAATGTTTGAGGTAACATTTGATTTATAAAGCCAATGGCACACAACAAAGACAGACGACACGAGACGAGTTTTAAAAAAATGAAGATGATGAATTTATTAACACACAAAAAAATGAAAGAATTACACAAATTAATAGATGTGTGTGCCAAATGATGGCCAATAACATGTATATATAAATAAACACTGCAAATAAAATATACCTCTTTTACAATAAAAATTTCTATACTCCATACGGTAAACAAGAATAAGAAAAGGTAAACAACATAAAATAAATGAAAAAAGGAGGAAAAGTATTTCTTTGATTAAATTTCAAAGTATAATGTTCGGGGCAAAGTTCGTGGTTACAGCGAAGAACAGAACAATCATACCCGCCGAAGAATTTTTTTTCTTGATGTGGGAGCGACTTCGATGTTCTTTTCAAATTCTCGTCTGTTGGTCATTTCTTCTGTGTTGTTTTATCCTTGACCAGAGCGACCTGAGTTCCTGCAGCAGTCGTCCGTCGACTTCTCCAATTCAATTCTGTTATACGTATATTTTTTAACTCTGCGTGCGTTATTGCAATTGTCATAGATTAATGCTGGCTTTCTTTCCATAAAATTGACAACATTTTCAATAGCTTTTTCAATTTCAGTCCAGGTTCCACCACAATCATGTTTTTTTTTTTTATTTCCTTGTTCATTGTGACAATGTGAATGCTGGAGAATAGTTTCTTTGGAAGATTTTATATCATATAATGTTGACTTTCCTATGTTGAACTCAGTCATCAGTTACAATGAATCTAGTCTAGTCTGTTTAAAATTTCCACTTTTTGCGATAACTCCAAAGTTGTTCTTTTCCTCTTATTACCATCATCTTTTGCATCAAATACAAGCCATTAGGGTGAAGTAAGCATAAACAATTATCCAAAGTAAATTTTCTGGAAAACAGAAATTTCAAAATCAGTTACATATCACCCAAATAGTTCAAATACATACATCAAAATCATGTCCAGATATGCGGGATTCCTGATATGAGGAATTCCGGATATGAGAGATTCCTGATATGAGGGATTCCGGATATGAGGGATTCTACTGTATTTTGATTTATTTGATTTAGAGAGAGTCCAGTGATATTCGGTCTAGCAAAATGTTCGTTTATAAGGCGGATATTAGTAGCAGTCTGGAGAAATATAAGTTTCCGTTCGGTAGTGGGTAGTTTCGCTGTCAGAACTTGGTAGTAGTAGTAGTCATCTTACAAATAAGTCAGCGTCAATCTGTTGTTTTTCTCGGCCCTAAGCAGGACAGAAAATATCATTAGCAGATGACCTCTTGACTACTTCACGCGTCACGTATGACTGGTTTCTCTGGTGGTCGAGTCTCTTGTTTCGTTGTTTCTCTGCTGGTTCCTTCTCGTC